ATAATTTTTTGTTTTTTGTTTTTTACCCACAGGTACAGATGACGACTGACAGAACCCTTTCTACATTTAATATGAATGAATTGTGGTGATGTAATAAGGGATCAAAGAAAATTCCCATCCATGTGAAAATGCCAAAAAAGTCACAGGTCACAAAATCTGCCCCTAGATGTGGGGGTGACCAGATAGTGACAATAGGTGGTCATGGCCACCCCTGGCCACCATGAAGCTCCTCCCCTGTCGAGTGTCTCTTCTCGGTCTTCAGTTGTACCCTTCCGTAGTGACATCACAACTCCCAAAAGTAGACAAACAAATGAATGAATAAATATATAAATAGATTCATAAATAAATCAATAAATGTCATGCTCACTGAGCTGAAGCCTTAAATAAATGATGACAATTCTTAAAGTCACAGTCTCACAGATACCTGTACCGGTGTCAATTCATTTTAACAGTCATTGAGTCATCATATCGCTGAATTTGAATGCTTTTAAAAAAAGTGCTAAATAAAGAAAACTTCATTGCCTTGAACTTGTATGTGCAAACAGTTATGGTTACCAGCCACAACTAAGTGCAAAGCTTCATCGGGACCCCTTCCTTTGCAGAGTTTGGTTGTTTTTTGCTGGTTGCTCACAGGTCGATCCCAGATTCATCCCACCAAGCAATCACTCCGTGGCCTACAAATCCTTGGTAAAGCCGTGTTTTACAATAGAGGCATAATTGCAGGAATTTAATTGTCTGCCAATGCTCTGCTCGCACAGCCTGCTAGCGCTGAAGAGCCGAATAATTAGAAACAGGGAGAAATTAGGCAGCAATTTTGTCTTGGCAATTATCATAATGCAAAAGAAGTGCCATTAGTATTGTTAGCCCTACACAACATAATCCTTTGACATCGTCAAGTCACCACAATCGTTGCCGGGCGCAATGACTCTTGATTTCCCCACGAGCCTTTGGCACTGCTTCTGTCACGTGAGACATCAGGACATACCAAATGGGTTCGCAGACTGAGTGCATCCCACCCCGGAGTACTGCGAGGATTAGTTGCCAGCGCATTTGCAACCCCGTGTTTCCCTTTAAAGATATATAACTTGGGTGTTAATCCTTTTTCACCATGTCACCCAGGAAATTGGGTTTGATGTGACAGAAAAATAATGCACAGGATGGTCGATGTACACCTCTGCAGCATTGGATTTTCATTGTAATGTATGAGCTTGGTCTGTGTAAAATTTGTCCGGTGCTTGTTAAGCATACAACCAAAGATTGACGATGAGCTAATTTAGGCCTGTTGTGGCACAATATTTGCACCGCAAATGAAGTTTGTATACATTTAGTCAATTTGGACATTGTACAGAGGAGCAAACCAATGTCTTAGCTACATGCCACGCATTCTAATCTTTGCCTGAAGCCAAGTAAAATCTCAATGAAAAAATTACTTTACAGCCACGCGTTTGGAGATTAAACAATTATTTGCCAACCTTAACTCACTAATCTCAAACACTGGGATTCAATGTTCATTGACTCATCCTTTAATATGCCGCAGAGAACGTTTTTGCCTTCAGTTCGTCAATTCTAGAGAGATTTCTTGGCTGTGCTTACAAGTCATGATTGTTTCAATGAAATCACACAACAGTGCACCCTCTGAGGTCAAACAATCTGTTCCATGACACTGGTCAGCTGTATCCCATGGTGGCACTGTTGCCACGATAAAACTTTTATTAACTGTGATATTTGAAGTATCAGAGTTAAATCTTAACTGGCAGACATACTGAAAACAGAATGGGCAATGTCAAGCCATGTGTAATTTATTTTAATTTTCAACCGGCAAAATGAAAAAAAAAGAAGCATGAAGTGAGTATATATTAGTTTTTAATGTAACGCAAAATGCTTTTTTTCATAATTCAACTTTAGTCTCGCGTGAAGACGAGCAAACTGAAAAATAGGCCGCAGGACTGAGTGTGATTTCAGCATTTGATATGGTCATGTTGATGTGACGAACTGATCATTTGAATCGGGTGTGGTTGGAGGAGAGAACAATTTAAAACATGCAGGATGGAGGCCCTCGAGGACCGGCGTGGATGACCCCCTGCTCTCAGTGTTATAATATGGCTACTGAACCATCGTCATGGTCTCGGATGTATAACGGGCTACCGAGACCAATTGTCACTTTTTCAGGAGTGGTGACCTCCACCCACAATCAAACTGTACACTGAGCATAACACCAAAGTGTTAGATTAGAAAATGGATAGATGGCTGGATTGATGGTTATGCCACAGATGGCAGTTTTGCCTTTTTTTTAATTTGAGAAGGAATTTCTTCAACCAGGATTCAAACATATTCTAATATGTTGGGGGAAAAAAATAGCACTGTCCAGCCACAGAGACAGAAACCACTTTCCGGTGGTGACACTGACCTGAAGGTTTTAACGGATATTACATTAAACACCATCAGGACCAAACCAAGATCTGCACTGTTGAAGTGTAGGATTAATTGTGCGTCATCAATACACGTCTGTCGAAGGAAATGACTATGGGATTTAGGAAGCTCTTCAACAGTGATGTTGGGTAACTCTCAGTGGCTCTGAGTAATAAAGCAATGGGATTTACTCAAGATTTTAATTGGGATGCATTATCCCAACCCCTCATAGACCCAAGAAGCAGGCAAGCGATATGCACCGATAAGTATGAAGGTCAACCAGCTGCTTAGGCGGAGCTGCCCCCCCCCCCCACCCCCCTACATGGTGTCACTCTTGCAAAGCCGGTGACCAGGTGGTGGGAACATTTTCAAAGCGCAAAACTCTGAGCACAATTAGCTTGTTTTCCCTCCTTGTTGGGGTTTACGATCACTCCAGCGCGTGTTTCATCGCACATTTGGTGCGCCGCTGACAAGTTCCAAGCACCATAAAGGAGAAGAGCTAATGAGGCCGTATGTCGAGAATAAAAGAGGGATTAATGAACAATGTGTTTGAAGAGCCAAGCCCTTTACAATACACCCGCATTTATATCTAGACATATACACTAGGTTGAGAATATTTGCTTTTGAATGGTCCACGCTGCGCTTGGAGGAGTGTTCTGCTGATGGAATCAAAACCCCTTTCACACATTCAAATGAGGCGCACTCAGCTGTGATTGGTATTGGAAAGGCATTTGTCGGAACAGAGGCTCACAGAAGGCTTCTTAAATACAAGGCAATCACGGCGACTGACGGCGAGGCGAGAGAGGTGTGCCCAGACTGCAGAGTGTGGAAACGGGACAAAGGATTATGATGGTAATAAGCAGTAAACCAAAACAAAGTCATCCCCTGATTCCCTCCCCTTCTTTCTCTCTCTCTCTTTCTCTCTCTCTCTCTCTCTCTCTCTCTCTCTCTCTCTCTCTCTCTCGCTCTCTTTCTTTCTCTGTCTGTCTCCCCCAATCTCGCTCGCCCCTAAATCCTCTTGCTCACCGGCTGCATCGCGTGTGCCACATATTGACAAGGCCCATTTTTCCACATTGCTGCCGGAGCCACAATTTAAAACTCATTTCTCATTATTTGCGGCGAATCCGTACACACGCGTGCACAATTTCTAATCTGTCGAGGCCATGATGGCTGCTGGCAGAAGCGTCGGCTCTTTATGCAGATGCCTGACTGTACACCTGCACGCAATGTCAACTCTTGCACACCCGGATGGCCTTATTTTATTACAGACGTCAGCGAATCTGCAGGCCGTCAACTGTGAAGCTTTTTGTGCTAATGCCTTTTTTTTCCCTTTCGCCCTTCCTTTGGCTGGCTTGTCGTCCAGACTTTTTTTTCTTTCTTTTTTAGATCCCAGTCATGTGCAGATTTAAAACCTTACTTTTTAAAAGTGAGCCTTCCCTTGCAGGGCTGTGATGCACAATCGCAAAAAGTAAAGCAGGGTAACAATAGCAATTTAAGTGATTGTTTGACAAGTAAGACAGCCCCCACATGTTCAGGAACAATCAGCACTTATTACTGCTCTTATGGTATGCGGAGTATTTGAGGGCACCAAAACAGCACACTCGCAACAATACCTCCT